GGCCCGGGCTCTGCGTGGGGCTGGTGCGGCCTTCCCCGCGGCCTCGGGGTGGGAGCGGCCTGGAGGGTGCCTGGGACCTGCTCCCCGGTCTCAGCCGGGAGGCGAGGGGCTGAGACGGGCGGTTGGGCTGTGGGAGCTTCGAGCGTGGCCCTGAGCCGTGTTGTAGGTCCCCCGGACCGCAAGAACAAGCGTGGTGGCCCGGATGAGATGGGCCTCTTAGCTGCCAGCTGTGTTATCCTATGGAGAAGCTGAGTGAAGATGGTTTGCAGTTACGCTACTTTCACTTTCCTAAATCATGAATTGATACGTAAGTCAGCAAATTTGCACAGAAAAATCGAATCTTTTAGGCTGGAAAAGACCATTAAGATCATCAAGTCCAACCGTTAACCCCACACTGCCAACTCCACCACTAAACCATGTCCTTAAGAGCCTCATCTACACATCATTTAAACCCCTCCTGGGTTATTGACTCCCCCCTCCCTGGGCAGCCCCTTCCAACCCCTGACACCCCTTTCCAGGAAGACATTTTCCCCAATATCCAACCCAAACCTCCCCTGGTACAACTTGAGGCCGTTTCCTCTCATCCCATCACTGTTCCCGTGGGAGAAGAGACCGATTCCCCCTCCACCCCCCCCTTTCAGGGAGTTGTAGAGGTTGTTTTGGTTACTTAATGCAAACCAGAAAGGGATTCCTGGATCATTAGGCAGACAGCCTCAATTTGAAGCCTTGTTGAATGCAACAGGTACAGTGTTACAGGTAAAAGCCAAGCTGTAGTTGAAGGTGTCCCTGCCCATGGCAGAGGGTGGAAGTAGATGGCCTTTAAGGTCCCTTCCAACCCAAAGCATTCCGTGATTCTATGAATTTCCAGGTGAGAACATCAGAAATCTCTGGCCGTGTCAGGACACTCGGCTGCCCTGCTGCCCAGGTCTTGATTGTTGTTAGGCGACGCTGCTTAGAGAGTGCCTAACCCATGGGGCGAAGCCCTTGCGCCGTCGCAGCATCCACAGGCTAGATTTGCTTGGGAACCTGTGCATTTGTGTTAAGCAGGTTTAACGGTTGTATCTCTTAAGCACTGAGTGTACAGGATGCTGAGCCTGGGTGTAACGGTATGAAAGTAGCGTAAAGGTAGGCACATAAGTTCCATGACTGAAAACTTTAGTTGTGCAATGCAGAATTTCTCTCATATGTCTCTGGTTTTTATGCTTAGTAAGGAGGCTTTGGATATCCCATATATATCACTTTTGCCAATAAAATGATTTATTTAATATATCACTTTTGCCAATAAAATGATACAACATTTACGTTTACAAATTCTTTCAGCTCAACATAGCTTCTAGTATTCCTCTCTGGTATTCTGTTCTGCTGAAAAAGAACACCAATATACACAATGCTATAATTTTTTTTCCTGTTTCCTCAGGTTTCAATGGATTTAACAAGTCCTCCACTACCTTTAAAAGCTGATGGTGGTGTAAGTATTTCCTGATGTGCTGCCTGGAAAAAAAAAATCTGTATTTGCCAATAGTATCTCTGAATGAAGGTTTGTGCTAGAACTGCTGCGACATTGCTTCTTGTCTCACCACCTTCCATCCTTTAATGGTTTGGACATTCCTTATTCCTGCCTTCTGTTTCCATAGGGAGAGTCCCATTCCAAAGTGTCTTCATTACAGAATCTGTTAGAATTTTCCTGTCTTACCTCACTCATCTGTCTCTGTGGAGGTTTCTTAGGGGAATTCCTTTCTCCTGGTGCCTCCCTTGATTCAGTTTCTGCAGCAGGTAGTTTGGATGGTACTTTCCCTGAGATTTCTTGTGTTTTCCTTGTTGGTTTTTTCCTTCTTTCAGGTTGAAAAGTGTTGTCTTAGACTATTTTTCAGTAAAACCCAGACATCCTTTCTTATCAGCTTCCAGCTGTGGCACGTGCATCTTCCTACTTTCCTGCACTCAATCCCTTGAGTAAAGGACTCAAGTCCTCAAGTCCTTTCCGGTTTTAAGTTATACGCAGATGGGGATTTCCCTCTTGCTTAAGAGACATTTGAAACTGGACAGAGTAGTGGAAAAAATTACTTTGTATTTTATTGTTTTTAGGAAATACCCAGCATTACCAAGAGAATTGACAAGATTATCTAATTTAGACCTTTTCCATGCCTCAATTTCATGGTTCACATTCAAGTTTTATGTAATCTGAAGTAAAAGGGAGGGATTGTTTCAACAGGTCTCTTTGGATATTTTTTTTTCTTTCTGCAGAATATTGCAGCCATAGAAACAAAACAGAACAGAGAAAATTTTCTCTCTTCTTGGGCTCTGTCCAGTTGTAGTTTTCCCGTGCTTGTGACCTTCTGCCCTGAAGTACTTAAATTCTTAAATGCTTCTTTTATCGCTTTCCTCCTGCTTGATATTACCGTTGATTGTCCAATCTCCCTGAGCTTGGAAGCATCCCATTTTGCATTTTTTTTTCCATTAGGCTTGTATAGTTACACATTCTCTCAGAGGAACTGCTGAGAAAGCATGTAGATGAACATTTGTGGGCTTGAGGAGCCTAGTTCCCTGTGGAAGAACATAGAGACAGTTTGCTTTTATTATTTATTCAAAATATTAGCCTGTGAATATTTCCAGTTGGATGGTTAGCAAATAATGATTACTGACCAGGACCCATTTTCTTAGATTTTTGTCCCATCTAGCCATTAAAATAGTTCAATGATTTAGCCCAAGTGTCTGAATGCATTGTTAAAAAATGATGTGGTATATGCTACCCTCTGGCACGCAGACTGCAGGAAGATTCAGTTATGAAATATAATTGGTGTCTCAAAATGTTTGATTCGCCACATAATCTTGCCAGCATAATGGGAGAAGAACAGCAAATGGGCACACTTTCATTAATAGACGTACACCGAAAACTATCACAGCAAAACACTTCACCCAGCTGCAGAGGGTTTATGGGGTTTTTATTTTGAAGACTCGTTTGTCTTGTCTGGTGTGTCTCAATTACTGCCTAACAGAGGAGAAAACCTGTGTGTGCCTCTTCTTTTCTCTCCAGAATATGACAAGCCCTGACCCTTCTGGCACATCAGAAAATGACATGGAAAGACTTAAAGAAGAACTGAAGAAATGGCAGGCAAGTTCTAAAAACCACATAGAATCGTGGAAATTAGCTGAAAGATACTTGCAAGACCTTTAGTCCATCCTTCTAAAACCAAACCAACTCTCCCCCAGTTATAACGTGTTTGTCTGATTTGTTCTCTGTTCTTCATTGGTACATGCTTGTGTTGATCTCGGATCTAAGAAAAAATACTTACCCAAAGTCTTAAATAAATATAAAGGTCTTACTTAAGGTTTTGTTTGTTCCTGTGGAAAAAAAAAAATTTAATCTTTTTTACTATCCAGGAAAGAGTTGAACAGGCTAAAAAAGCAAAAGATGACCTTCTTGTTCGTAAATTAAGTGCTGATGAAAAGTATGATGAAGCAGAGAAGGAGCTGCTAAAGCTAAAGGACTTTCAGGAGAAGCAGCAAAAGGAGATTATTACATCTCGGGACACCCACAAGGTATGGAGAAGGCTTATTCATAGCTGTCAGTATCTGGGGATGTGTGAAGGAGGTGTTTGTTAGAGAAAGTAAGAGTAATATTTCTTTTTTGGTTTAAACAGCTTTACTGGTTTACAGACTGTAGGGCTAGAATGTTCTGCACATAGTTTTCCAGTGGCAGAGTAAGAACCAGTGCAATAAAATAAATCTTGTGGTAATGTTGGAAGAGTGAAGGCAACACTGGGACCTGTTTTGTAGAGAAGATGAAGACTGACAAACCAGTCTTCCTCTTCCAAGCTTCTCCACTAACAGATGAGTTTCAATTCTGTGTGGTGCAGATAAAATTGAATGGGTTGATTCCACTGCTTTGGCAACCCCCAGACGTTAGAGCACCCAAGGGGTTAGCACTTCTTAAGTGACAATGAGCTGGGCAAGAGCCGGAGCCTGTTTGAAGAGGGCTTTTCTTTCTAGAACTAACTGGTTCATTACCTCAATGTGCCACGTGCAGTCGTTGGTGCAGTAAGAGGAGAAGTTTCCATAGGCTGTCAAGGAGGTGGTTTCAGTGAGGATTTGTTTGGCCTGAAAAACACTGATGAAAAATTATGGCTTCAATATTACAAGCTATTAAAATATAATTGGTAGGTTAAGTACATTCAGGTCAGCGTTTTCTCAGAGTTGGTTTTGGTTCTGCAATCATCAGTGTTTGGGTTTTATAGGCAGAAGAGGTCTTTATCATCATCTGGTTTTTGCTTTACATTATCTTCAGCTGATGAAAACTGGTCTAATTATCTCAAATGATTACTGACTTTAAAGGAGCCATCTTCTAATTGTGTGTGGCTGGAGCTGACACCATCTGCTGTGTTTCCTACTCATTCTGTTGTGTTCCCTGTCCAGGAGATACTGGATTTAGTTACAGGGGCTTTCTGCCCATTTAGGATTCTTTGGTGTGGAGGAAGTACGTAGCAGATGGAGAGAGAAGAGGCGTTCCCTCTTCCTTGCTGAAGAAGTATGAAGAGGGAAGAGTAGCACTGTGGCAGAAACAGTCCTCATGTGGTACACTTTTCAGAAAAGGGAATAACAGTTACTAAGATCACACGTGGTACAAAAACTAGAATGTTTTGTGTGTTGACACAGGCTCTGACCTTGCATGTGTAAGGAACTGGCATAACTGGAAGGTGCAATTTATGGTACACTGCAAGTGCTTGGGAACACTAATGCCTCCTTGCAAAAATACTCTCACTGTAGTTTGATGGAAACTGCTCCTTGATGAGTGAATTTACCTTGCAGATAGTTAAAGCTATGCAAAAAATGTGTTGTGCGTGGCTGTAATAGAGTAATTAAGAGTTGAAACAGTTTCTAGTGTCTGTAGGTTTTTCTGAAATATTCTATGTGTTTAATTTTGCATTTAATGCCTTTTGGGCTGTAGAGAGAACTCAACGTACTAAACCAAGAAAACGCTGAGCTGAAGAGAGAGATTGAAAAGCTCAAAGAAGACCTTGCGGAATGTAATTCGGTGCTTTCGTGGGGTGATCAGGTAAAGTTGGAAATGTTTGCGATTTGTCTTTCAGAAGGGCACATTGTTACTTTGTCAGTTCCACACCGTTGGGGCCAGTTGTACAGCATTTGAACCTCTATGATTTCAATATAAAATACAGCTGGAAGTTTTATTTTCTTATTCCACCTGGCAGGAAAATGTGAAGCAGGCTAAGGATATGGATTTTTTGTTTATACAGAGATTGAAACACTATCCAAGGGTTACCTTGTTTAACATTAACAATATTACAATGTTAGCTTTAGCTTTCTAAAGTACATTTCTAAGTTTAGGAGATGTCAAGTCCAGCCTCCTAAATTTCCTGTGCAGTCACTGGGCAAGGCAAGGCTCCTCTAGAAGGAGATGCAGTGTGAACAGGGGCCTACACCCAGCGTCTGAATTATCTTTGGGAAGAGTGTCGCTCTTTCCGTTGGCAGTAGAGGGAATGGGAAGAAAGCAGGCTCATAGATAAGATGCTAGCTTTCAA